TGGTCCTGAAAGCTAGAGGAAAGTGACATGTATAAGACAAGATAACTAGAGTAGTTTCATCCGGCACGGGAATAATTGAATCAGTTTCTCAAACTGGCTTTGATGATGTTTAGCTCTGTTTGATGTGATGAAACTCTGAATAAAACATCTCTTTTAAGGAAATCATCTTCATGCGGAAAACGGACAGTTTTTCTGATCTCTGCAATTTAGAAGTCCGTATGTTTTAGAAGATTATTTATCAAGTTATCAACTGAAGATGCCCGTGGATGGACATAAAAGTCAGACGCATGTGAATTTTGCTATATGTGTTATATTCTACCTGTAGGAATGAGATTGGCTGACATTCTATTAGGCAGGATTTTAGCCAAATCGGCTGAAGTATCACGTTAAAATTATAAGTAGTAGAATGTTAGTAGAGAATGAAAAAAGAACAAAACCCAGCAGTCAGGCATCCGGGAGTTTAACAGTACTAAGATTGTTATGTACTTACTCGCGAAGTTGAGTCCGTAATCTCATCTGTTAGTTCCTTTTGAATGTCTTGATGAAGAGCCACGTGAAACAGAAGCCAGGCAATGGCACCACACGTGATATCCACATTAGCCAAGGATGCTTCCTCCAGAGTTTCTTGAAACTAAGACATAAAAAAACCTCCTAAAGTAACTAAAACCTCCAAGCAAGCTGATCTGATGATCAGCTCGGGTGGGGCCAGATTCACAAAGGCCTCATAGCTATGATTAAGGAACAGTACATACGATGCATGTTAACTTAGGCGGGCTTGCAAAGGCAAACCGCAACTTATTCATCTGACCTGGGTGAGATTCAAACCAAAATTAAGAATACAAGTCATTTTAAACTTGGTTAGGTGGAGTCACTCTCAAGCTTAGTTAAACGCACGTGTGGAAACACTAAGGCGCACAAAAACAATGCCTCTAAAATCCAGTTAATGTTGCTTTGAAATCGAGCGTTTCTATTCAATTACACGAGGTTTTATTGATCATAGGCCTGTACGCCTAGTATGCAAGTTTATTCCACACTTGCCGGCCGGGGCTAGGGTCCGGAGTAAACTGATTGGACCAAACATGGATGATGAAAGTAGTTCTAAGCTTACTGAAGTGTGCCACCCTCACTCCAAGTCCCTTCCCTGGATACAATACCCCACTGATATGAAGGTTT